GGAGCGTGCCAACGCAACATTCTCGACGCAGGAGCTGACGCATCTACTCGATGGGGGCAGAGACAAGACCGAGCGACGGAAGGAACTCGAGAAGATCTTCCACGATGATCCCCAGTTCAGGGACGAGGTTCCGACCGTTTATCTGTCCCACGAAGAAGCCTACGAGAACTCCCTTTCGAAAACGCTGAAGATCTGCCAGAAAGCCTTCGATCTTGCTGACCCTCGTGAGATCCTGACCATCGCCGATGCTATACTGCTCGACGCAACCCCCGTGCACGTGCACTTCATCATGTTCATTCCCGCCCTGTTGGGTCATGCCGATGAAGAGCAGCAAGCCAAATGGCTGCCGGACGCAATGACGATGCGGATCATCGGGTCTTACGCTCAGACGGAATTGGGTCACGGAACCTACGTACGGGGATTGGAGACCACCGCCACCTACGACGAGACCACGCAGGAGTTCATTCTAGAGACCCCGAATCTTTCCTCGATCAAATGGTGGCCCGGCAGCCTCGGTAAAACTGCCAACCACGCAGTGGTTGTGGCGAAATTGTGGACCAAGGGCCAGTGTCACGGAGTGCATCCCTTCATGGTGCAACTCCGAGACCTGAACACCCATGAACCCCTTACTGGCATCAATGTTGGAGAAATTGGTCCCAAAATGGGCCTGAGGACTTTGGACAACGGTTTCCTGAAATTGGAGAAAGTGCGCATCCCTCGAGAGAACATGCTCATGAGGAACGCTCGCGTGAGCCCCGACGGTACATACACCAAGCCGAAATCCGACAAACTCAACTACTCCACCATGGTTTTCGTGCGGGTGATTCTGCTTGAAATGTTCGGTTTCAACATCGCTCGAGCGGTTACGATCGCCGTGAGGTATTCCACCGTCCGCAAGCAGTCGGAGATCGTCGCCGGAGCCGGAGAAGTTCAAATACTCGACTACCAGGCGCAAAGATACAAACTGTTCCCCCTGATTGGTTTAGCCCACGTGCTCCGCGGCTTGATCCCCGTTCAGATGGAGATCTTCAGAGAAGCTAACGCGGATCTGCAGAGGGGCTGCTCGACACGCTTCCGGAACTACACGCCATCGCTTCGGGGCTGAAAGCCTACTGTTCCGAAACCGTCTCGAAGGGCATTGAGGTAAGGCAAAACTCTGTATTAATTATTGACATCGAAACTTTCAGTATTGTCGCCAGGCATGTTGAGGGAAGACGGCGAGACTCTCACTCAGCCTTAATCATTATATTTCTTTCTGTAGGTCTGCCGTCTGGCTTGCGGTGGTCATGGATACATGCTCATTTCCGGTTTGCCTCGACTCTACGCCTGTACGGTGGCGTCCTGCACCTACGAAGGAGAGAACACCGTTCTCTACTTGCAGACCGCCCGGTACCTACTCAAGTGTGTTTCCGGTCAGCATAATTTGGGTGCGAAATCGAAGTTCAAATTCCTGCTCAATCAGCAAGCTCCACCGGTGCAGGCTTTCAACAAGGATCTTTACGGTCTTGAAGGTGCCGCGCACCTGGTGCAGTATTATGCCGGTGCCGCTCATCGAGATGTGCACAGCGTCGATCAGAAACTCAGGCGCTTGAAAGCCGAAGGTTTGATCGATGATCTCGCTTGGAATTCGAGTCAGGTCGATCTACTCCGAGCCGCTCAAACTTGCATGCAATATTATTTAGCAGTCAACTACGTGGAATGGGTCGCTAACAGCGACATTTCTCCCGAGCTGCGCGCGATATTGGCTCAGGTCTGCCATTTATATCTGCTTCACGGCATCTACGAGAACCTCGGTCGATTCCTCAACGCGGGGCTCAAAGCCGCAGACGAAGCATGCATCTCAGCTTTGATCACTCGTCTGCTCGACGATATTCGCCCCAATGCACTGCCCATCGTGGACTCATTCGACCTCCACGACATGGTTCTGGCCTCAGCTCTGGGAGCGTACGACGGTCAAGTGTACGAGCGAATGTACGAATGCGCTCTCGAGGCACCTCTGAACAAGAAGCAAGTCATCAGCGCCTACGAGAAATACCTGGAACCGATTTTCAAGAGCAAACTGTAATGATATCAATCCTGAACGACGCCCCAACATTCCACCGCCTCAACCTCTGATACGCGGAGGTGCCGTCCTCCTGCGACTGAGCACCGGGTCTTCCATCACGCTGATGTCCGTTTCCATGGTCCTATTTATTCCGAACATTATTATGAGAGTGCAATAAAGGCATTGAAAATAGTCGAAATTGAGCTGATTCACCGTCCTCCCCGGAGTCCGGAGCAGTCCGATCGGATGAGGGTCGGCAGGACGGAATACCCGCGAGGGCGATGCTCCTGTTTCAACTGATACCACGATGCAGTATGCTCGCGGTTCGGCTCGCCGAAATCGCCACACCTACCCGATAGGAGCTCATTGCCTCTTTGTAATGAGTCGAGCCGATAGATGCACCCTGGAGCCGAATACATAGAGATCCCGCACAGCAAACGGCTTGCGAACGCTATTTATAAAGATCCTTTGGATTTGTACTTCGAGGAGCATTGGGACCATTGTTTCCTGCAGCGAAGGGATGGTCTGCTCAGAAGGAACACGGTCCGTGTAGAGTGTAGGCTATGCTCACCAATCACCTATACTTAGACAGCCGGTGTAACTGAGAGCCGATCGGCCGATCGAGGTACGAAGTACGAGAATTTAGTCGTAAAGAAATTTATTCAAATCGGAACACAGTTTCTCATGTTCACCTCGAAAGTCCATCCCGCGCACCACTAGCAGCTCGCGCGATGAGATCTTTCTTTCGTTATAGTCTCTTCTACTTAAGAATAATATTAGTCATATTTGTATCTTCTCGTTCACTTATTTATAGTTTCGTCGTCGTCGTTGCATGACGATCCTCTCCGCGGTCACCACGATCTAGTGACTAGTGTGTCACAAAATAATACTCGGAATCGTTTTCCCCCTCGAAGCTGTTCGTCATCTGAAATCATTGTCTCAACCGATAGCATTCGTCAGACGTCGTCTACACATATATGTATTTGAATTTCACCTCATCCGGCAAGAATTTCCGAGAAAATCTCACATGTGTCCCCCCTGCCTTCCCTCTCCAATACTGTTGTCAGATGATTCTCCCCAGAATCCAGAGGAATCGGTCTGGTAGATGACGATGTACAGCAGGAGTTAGCGTTTTGCGAGAATTCTTCAATTACTTCGAAACCGTTCATATTCCAACCCTAGGTTCCCTCCCGTCGAAATGTCGAGAATCAGAGGTTCCGCTTCCGACCGGCGACGAAAACGCGGAGCCCTACCAACCGCGACCTCCGCGAAGGGCTCGGCATGGAGTCTCCCAGGTGAAAATAAAACTAATTACAGAAGATTGAACAAAACAAAAAACGAACGGAGTGCATCGAAAAACCTTGGATCGACTTCTTCCCTGAATACTTTCGCTTTCCACTCCCATCAACTATCACAAAAACGGCAACTTCGGCAAAGTAGCTTATGGAAAATTGATAAAATGAAATGCAACAAAAGTTCATAAGAACGAAGAAGTTCTCGTTGTCGGAGTTCACCGAAAACGAGCCTTCCATCGACTGGGAAGCTCTATCAACAAGGGAACCCTTGAAATTCTTATATTCCTCACAATCTCGTACCCCCCACGGCATCGTCTGACTATGCCCCTCTCGGAGTCCAGGGTGGAAGAGAATAAATACAGAGGTACCTGTCTAGTGTACCAGCAGTTCATCCAGTACAAGACTTCACGGATGGAAGTCCTCACGCTGTAAGCCCCCGTTCGAGGCGAAGCGCAGAAATTCCAAAATACAAAGTAAAAACTTATGATACAGGCGTCGGGGTTATATACAGTAGTACGTGTCGTCGTCGTCATCATCATCATCGTCAATCTGGCTCAACCTGGAGTTTCCGAAATCTGCCGAAATCGGGATTTCTTCTGAAGACCCTAGTCCTCGTCCTGTCTTGCGCGTTTCGACCGAATCATCTATCGACTTCTTCGGTCTGGACTCTGCCGTGGGGGTGTAAATTCCCATTCTCTCATGTTAATGATTCCGTAAAAGTTAACTCTTTGGCCGCCGCTTCTGAATCCTGTTCCGTAGTAGATAGGGGAACGATCGATCGATCCCTCGTCCGAAAGATGTACTCGCTCCTTCATCCATCAGTCAAAGATTCCTCCAAAACGCGGACTGAATCCCTAGCACTGTGACACCAGGTCCCTATCTAGACGATGGTATATAATACAGATAAAGTTACGCGACCTGCTCGGACACTTCACTCCGAATTCTCCATCTGCTCTGATAGGATCAGTCTTGATGAGGTCATCGTTGAAGACGAGAGTTATTTCCAATGTGACTACCTCATCGATGCTACCCACTTCTTCGCTCGATCTGTTGCCGGAAACAATAGTTTTCTAGTGTACACGAACTATTCAACGTAATTCACTTGTCATCAAGTAACATCGGTTCTCGCTCTCACGGTCACTCATCTTACCTAGGGTCTCTACAAAGATCTGTGGGACCGAAATGGCTACACGAGCTCAATAGATTAGATTCCTACAATACTGTAATGAGCAACACGAGGATGCTGCTCCATATTTCACGACTTCGCCGCCTGGCAAGCTCGCCCTAATGAATTTCGTGAAGCTCGCTAGACTCGTGGCGAAGCTCCTCCGGAATGGCACACCGTAGCATTTCTACACTCGTTATCGATGCCTCTACTGAAGTAATGAGCGGGGAAAATCATCACATTCCGATCGGAGGGTCAGCAGCTACATCATCGTTACATTCGACGTCACATCAGAAGTCAATCCGAAATGTCTCTCGTCTGCGTTGTTTGAGCGAGCACGACTCCGCTCGCTCCATCTCGCCTCAATATTCCGTCCCCATTTGGGATTTATCGCCCTGGCGACTCAGAGATCCGAGGACACGTACGCGCAGAGAGAGTCGAAGTCCCTGATCTGCTCAGCAGCGTCGAAACGTCACACGGCGGCAAGCTGAGCGGGCTACACCATGACTACTTCTTCCTGGCCGCAAAATAGAAATCTGTACTGATCGATCATGGTCTGTACAGAATCTTCGAGGTGGGGTCGAACGCGTTCAAACATCAGCATGTCGTTGAACTCCAATGGGAGCAGGGTAGGCCACCAGCAGATGGCCAAGTTTTTGCTGTCCATGTTGTTCAATCGGCAGTTCTCCGAAACCCTGGAAAATCAAGTAATTGTTTTTTGCATTAGAGCATAGAGTGTTCCCGACCAATCTCTCGAACAGTGGGAAAGGGACACGGATCGCGACCCGTGGAAGGCCAAGTCTCGAATCGAGCCCAGCGATCAAAGACCCGGACAGCGCTCATCTACTCACTTCACGAAGTGGTGAAACACGTATTTCAGGATTTCGAAGTTTGCGGTGGGTAATTGCTTGAGGAGGCGGCGCATTTCTAGGTGGCGACAAGAGCGATCTTGGATGGCAGAGGCGTCTGTGAGTTTGTTCATGGTCTGAGTTGACAATAATGGAGGGAGATGTTTGGAGAAGAAATCCTTCAGCGCCGTGGCCACAGCATTGACCGGGATGTCCAGCTCGGTTATGTTGCAGTTGTGATCTGTCGGAGGAAGCACACGAAATGAAGAGAATTCGGAACGAAGTCCAGCCTGAACTTGAAATCGGCAGGAACTGGCCACGAGACTGGCCTCGAACTCACCTTCATCAAACTTTTGGAAGAGCAGGTCGACGTGAGCTCTGTTGCCAGGTACCCGATAGAGACCTTCGGAGTCAAGGCCCTCCTTTTCGATGAAAGTGATGCATTTCTCAACAAAGAGCGGGACGAAGTTGTCAGCGGACTGCGCGAAGTCTTCGATGACTTTTTTGCTCCCCTTCTTGGACTTGCTTCTCTTCTCTTTCTTCTCCTTGCCACGGCGCTTCTCTCCAGAGTTGTGCTGCGATCATGGAAGTTTGTTCGAATAAGCTCTACGGAATCCTGAAGGATCCCTGGGGCCCTCGCCATCATATCGAGACTTGATGGACCGTGAAATATTATCTATGTCTCTGGAGATTCCAGGAGCAGAGGAGAGATGAATGGGTATGGAAATATTTGAAAAATCGTGTAGGGCACGAATTTCCTCACCTTCAGATCTAAGTTGAGATCGAATGGAGCCATGCTATCATCCATTACCCCGGACATGCATGACAAACCGTCGAGACGCGTCTTGGCTGCAAAATCTCTAATTAGATTTTTCCATTGGACCTCTGACTCATCCCTTTTCGAAGGTCTGTATGCTGTTCCTACGAGTGCACAACCATCACCGTCTTCCCCAATGTTTTCGAAAGAAATAGGTTCTGCTAGAGTGTTCCTCGCGAGAAAATGCTCTCGAATTTTGTCCATAGCGTCAGTAAAAGCGGCAGCGCACACCTCAACCCCATGAGTTAATCGGAAGCTCGATTGAAGTAAGCCTGATTCTAACAGCGAAGGCAGACTCCGACTCCAGCGGTATACTTATCGCCATCTGGTTCGTCTTTGCCCGCGTGTTTGCTCCTTGTGTTTGCTGCGGAACAGGCCGCTGACGGCTACTTACAATGGGAGTTGAGTGAATTATCGGAAGGAAAATGTTGACTAAATAGATATTGGTGGCGAAGGGAACTCGGCATGTGCGGCAGGGCAAGACGTTCGAGACCCAGGGCTCCCAGCCCCAGTTGCCCCAGGTGTCCGCCAGCCGCACCTGCGGCTAAACCCGAGGGTCCGCAGCAGAGCCCAACTGCAACAACAGCGTCAGGTTCATCACCAGCCGCCACCAAACTCCCTGGGTTAGCATGCCTTGCGGTCACTGATTGAATCCTGCATACATAGAAGCCTAGAGAAACATTCTTCGCCTCGAGTTTCTGGGGAGGTTTCTCCGTGAATCGATCCAGGACTTCCAGAGCTTGCGGTATGTGTGACGGTCTATTCTATGAACGCGGGGTATGATACGGGAAGAAGCCACTCTGAATTGGCGAGAACTCATGCCGCCAAGGACTCATATTCACGCTCAATCACACGCGCACAAACGCTCCGAGAACGAAGCAAGCGGGAACGACGCCTTCAGAAATTTTCTCCGATCGCTTTCTTTGATCAGGGTTATGAAAGATGCGTCGATACCCAAGATTCTGAGAATCGAGCAGCAGATAGGGTAGGAATGCGCGGCCGCGGATCTGGTCTCATGGTTGCGCATAATTACAGGGGTGAATCGGAAATGGGGAAGGCTCGTATTGGGTTGTCGGAGTGATGCGGTTGTACTCATGGCTGACTAGTATGAGTAATGATTAATGATACACAAATTGCAGTGCACAGAGGACATACGAGTACAGATAAGAAAGCAAACGAATTGGCGACTTAACGCCGCAAGATTGTACATATGTAGAAGCACCCGTGTTTCGATGACGGGTCCGAAATAAGACAAAACAGTCAAATCAATATTGCGGTTTGAGCACCGCAATATTGACTTCCCGCGGATAACAAGAAGCTATACGAAAAATACTCGGATCTGCGAACTTAGAGCAGTAGTGAGAAGTATCGCACGAACCGAATCGAAACGAAATTGAATTCCGTGAACTCATCGAAGCAAGTCAAGGAAACGAGTCGTGAAGTACATGTCGAACCTTTCTCGGGATCCTGGGGGCTCATGGGGCCCAGTGGGTTGCTGAGAAAAGCGGGGAGACCGCCTTCGAGGAGGGGGATTTTCGGCGGCGCCACGGCGATGGCTTTTTTCTTCGAGCGGCTTTTAGCGCTCTTACGGTGTTTCGAGCTAGGATCCATGTCTTGCTGCGGATCGAGGTTGTCCGACTCGAGGTTGTCTCCCGAATCGCTAACTTCGGCCGAGTCCGATTCGCTCATACCTTCTCCACCTTGGCATCGTGATCGACGACGACGACGATCCCATCAATATCACCACGATCAGCATTCAATCCACATACACCAGAGCGTTAGATCGAGCCAACACAAGCAGCACAAGTTTGAGCCAGCAGAGAGGACCAGAGAAGCACAAGAAGAAGGAGAAGATACATTGAGTAAGCCTTAATTTTCCAGCTATACAGCTACTGATTGTACAATGTTTTCTATTGGTGATGTGGAAATGCGGGTGATGTGATCAAACGCCTGAGAATCTCTACAGATGAGGGAAATGTCGAATCTATCTAGCGAGGGTTGTTTCCTTGATCGGTGCAAGTGCAAAGGATATGTTGACGATTGGATTCATACGCAATATTCGACTGAAATATTCGCCGCCCGGAGGAAACTCCCCTCCGGGCTCGGGGCCGAAAGGACTTTCACGATACCTTTGTCTTTGACTCTAGGGAGGAGCTTCTTCTGTTGCGGGATCAGCGGAGCGTAGTGATGATCTTCAACGCTGGCGGCGTGAGTTTTAGGCAGTGCACCCACAGGGTATCTTGAGCTACCTCCGCTGACATTGATGCGCTGTATTGCGCTTTGAATATTATCGAATTCCCGGAGGTTTATCCTTCCTACAGGCTGGAGGAGCGAAAAAAACCCGGTCAGTGACCACCTGAGCGAGTTTTAATCGCTTCGAGCGTGATGTTGACAGCGAAGAGTTCTTCGGCCCGAAAATATATCCTCGGTTCTATCACGGTACTGTGGCATGCGGAGCGGGTTTGCTCTCGTCCTTACCTTTTGCTGCCTGGGCTTGTGAGATGATTTGTGACCGACAAGGGGTGACGGACTGGCTTGCTGGTTGAAAATTCCGTATCTCTGGAAAAGTTCTGGGGTAGCCGCGTGGTCCAATTGTTGGAGCTGTTGCCTTTCCCAAGAGTCGTCTGGCGTTTGAGAACCGTGTCCGAAGGTGCTTGTACCGCCTCTCTGCTGCTCATACAAACGGTTGTCGACCCATCCTGCTGGAGCGCAGAACGGAGTTATTATTATGATGATGAAACTAAGCTATGCAATTTTCATTCAATCAAATCTCCGGTCCGCGAATTCACGGGTCAAGACCCTCGAGATTCGGTAATTTTTCTGGGAAGTCGATTCGCCGATGGCAGATCGAGTTTCCCCTCCCACAAACGCACGATTTCCCGAAACTCCCGCTGCGTGGGAATATCTGATGAATCGACAATCTCGGCTCGACAGGAAAAGTCAATGTTTCTCATTGCCATCGACAGTCGTTCATTCAGTCAGCGGAACTCGCAATCCGAGCACGCTCTGTCGGTGCGTTCGAAGCGATATCTATACTGTTCAACCGATCCCTTCCAGCGAATGAAACGCAGTTCAGAATAGATTCGAGCTGGCTACCACACCATCAGGATCCTTGGCACGACCAAAGATCCCGACTCTGAGAGGGAATTCCGTCAATGCCCGTCAGAGACAGATGCGGCATTCTCGGATTCCCGGCACAGATCGGACCGTCCGGAAAACCGGGCGAAAGGACCAACGTGGACATCGTACAGGTACAATATTCCCACGAGAAATCCCTGGGTCCCTGAGCAAAAACTTCCACGAAAAGAAGGACACGAAAAAACGAAAACGACTGCCTGGATAGAACGATTCAGCGCAGATGAGGATATTCACCTGACTCGAGCGCGAGCGACTCCTGGGACGCTGTGTCGCCTGCGAAACCTTCCTTCGTGTTAATAGGTTAGGAGCTCGCAGCTCAAAAATTGAATCTCGCAGAGTGAAAGCATGGATTCTCTCTAGACATTGCTATTCTTCACTAGAAAAATCGAGCGATAAATTCTTTGGAACACACCCTTACGGAACCCAGCTGCCGGAGGAAGCAAGTCCGGTGGCGCAGGATCGGGAGGTGGATACCCTCCGTACGCTACAATGACGTAGGCCAAGGTTAGCTCGACGGAAGGGAGTGAAGATTTTCTCAAAAATATCGGCAAACTTTCGGTGGGTTTCGCGGGATCTTCACGCAGTGAACAAAACATCTAAACCGGCACTCTAACTCTTAAACGTGCCTAAGGAAGCAGTACGCTAATTGCGGTCGTGTCCGTCTCCTGGACTTCATCGGTCACGGACCAGGAGCGAACTCGATCTCCCGGGATTTGGTCATGCATTCCGGACTCGAATCAGAAGCGAACTGAGGTGAAACGGAATCATGGAGCCGGGAGGCCTTTCCCGGTTTTGATTCTCCAGCTATCGACTACAAGCTCGACTTCGGAAAGCTGGAGGGTTCTTTCAGGTGGTGGAGTTCAATAATTGCGATTTCGATCGCTGTCCGCATGCGGGACGAGGATGCTCTCTCTGGGAACTCACCACTCAGACCAGATGAGACGGTATCGTCTTCCGGAGACTCTTCGCTCAATCCTTTACCAGTATCGATCGAGTGCCGCGCTGGAACGACGACGGGCGGTGGAGCGGCACGCAACGATGAGCTTTTCTTCAGGAGGAAGTTCCGCACTGCTGAGTTTCCGTTTCGGAACTGCGGTGGTGGAGCCTGCTGTTGCTGTTGGTGTGAGATCAGATAGGCGTTCTCTGTGGGAACTTGTACCGCGGGACCGTGGGAGCCTCGCTGCGCGAAAGTCGTCATCAGGTTCCTCGCAGGTGGAAGCGGCGGGGGATACGAGGGCGCCTCCCCCGCAGATGGTCGGCTCGGCCTCTCCATAGAGTTATTACCGGTGCCTGGAAGTAGCCGGTGTGGAAAACGGTCAGTGAGCGAGTACACGGATCAATCGGGAAGCCGGGGCCGCCAGAGCTCCGCTAGTCGCGTTCGCGGACGAGTACATCGGATCAGTCGGTCAGACTGACAGACAAACGGACGTTTGGACGGACGGGCCGATCGATCGAACGGAGGAATAAACAAACTGAATGGATAATCCGTCTTCCTTAACGTCGCCGCCGAAAATTGTCGAGTACGAACCGTTATCGGAAATGTGGGGATGATGCAGTCTCTTGAGCTCATCCGGGTCCCTGCCGTTCGCGTAAAGAGGAGCGTAAACCCCTGCGGGTCCAATCCCTCCATCGTCTGATCCAGGGCTTAGACCCGACTCTCCCGGCAGCTGCTCATAGAGACCTTCGCTGTTCTCCTCATTCCTGGAAGAAGAAAAATAATGGGAATTGAAGACTTTATTTCTCTATTCGCTTCCACGGTTTCGCCTACTCTCATGCCTAAAGTCCGTTCGCCGTTCGAGACGGCACCGATCTTCGTCGACGTCGCCGTATGGCCGGCCCATCGGGATCTCCCACACATCGTTTCCGACTCGCATTCCTTAAGTATGCCGGCATCCGCGTCGACTGCCATTAAAGAACGGAGGCTGTTTACGATGGCGACATGAATTGACAAGCATCGAATCGATAAGATCTTTCGTTTAGGCGGACGGAGAGGCGATCACTCATCCTTCCGATATAGACTTTCTGACCCGTGGACCGAGCCTTCAGAATCAAAGCTCTCGTAGCCAGCTTACGGAACACATGCGGATGACGGGAGAACGTTCCGAATGAAGGCACGAACGAACATTATTATCTTTCCGCCGAGCTTCCGATGCAGGATTTGGCCGCATCCTTTCGCAATGTGAGATCTTCCTCTCGACTAAGCGAAAGAGATACAATCCTTTCTGCCGTGCACTCGGGTCGGCCCCGTGGTCCCGCGCTATCGATGCTCTCAGAGCGCGAGTGAGCACATCTAGAATTTGCATTCGCCGATTTGTCGTTTGAAAGCACTACCACCGTAAGCTTCGGCGGCGTCTACTCACTCACGAACTCGTCGACTGACTGACTGACTGACCGGCTGACAGACTGACGCGGGGAGAGACCCTCGGGCGTGGAGAGACACGGAGACAGAAAGTGAAGGAGAGAAACCGTGAGTGACGGTATCGGTCGCTCGAGCCGTCAATTGAAGAAGCCCGGCTGAATATCGAGTGTAATTGTTCACAAGTTCACAGCCGGCAGGGGATGGGTCGGCGCGACCGGCAGAGAACGAGTACAAGCGCAGCGCCGCCGTCGACAGTACCATCAAACGCCGTCGTGCCGACTTCCATTGACGTGAACTACTCTTCCGGCGTCGCCACATGTTCAGTAATTTTTCTTTTTCACGGAAAGCAATGAGTAATCCGACTTTCCTCGGCTGAACTCCGGCGCGGGACTTTTCACCTTCTCGTTCTGGACAGATCTCCGGAGCCAGTGCCGAACGTCGATGACACTGATTGTAGAACTCCCCCTATACGAGCGGTCCCTGTGCTCTCAGCTGAGCTCCTCCCCGCAACAATATTTTTTGGTTCATTCCGCGATTGCGGACCCGCGAGAAAAATACATGAAGGATCGTAGAGATGTCGTTCGCGAACTTACCCGCTAACGGGAATCTGATTATAACTCTCGTGGCGAAGCGGAGGCGGTGGGACCACGAAACCTCTGAGGGGTAACGTTGCCATGTTCGAGGGATCGCCTACCGGTACGCCGACGTCTGCGTCATCTTCTTCTTCGTCCGTGTACTCAGAAAGTTCTTCAGCACAGGAGCCGTCACACAAAGGACTGAAAGCCCGTTCAGTGCTTCCTTTGCTGTGGTAAACGTCTTTGAAGAATGGCGAATATGCCGTGGCTGAAACGTTTCGGAATAATGCGTAAGGCATCGCGTTACTCGAATTCGAAATTTCCAAGGGCTGTAAACGACTTTAAGTGCTCGGGGACGGCTTCATATTGAATGGTACCTAGGTGGGTAACAGTGGGTCGATCTCGTTCTTTCGAAGCCGGCTTCGTAAAGCTACGGTACGTGACCACGGTCGGAGTCTTCCGTGACACGAAAAATCTCGACTCTGTACTCACTACTCAGGGTCCGATCGGGTGGAAGAGTATAGAGGAAATGAGCCTGCAGGGTATGGGCGATATCTTCTCCTTCGTTCATGAGCGTGTCCCTCACGGCCTGATCTTCGGGATTCGTGGACATGTTGTTGGAAGACAACGCAACGATTTGGAGCGGAACGTGCGAAATGTTTTTCGAGAATGCAGTCATCGTAGCTAGTGAGGCCCTCCGTTCTAGGGAGTAGGCGAGAATAAACCCATGGAGTAATTCGTCTCGGTAGTGTTGTGCCTCGTGATAGCTCGTCACTTGAACCTGTACGATTATGGTGCTCTTGCCACGAGGACCTGTCGGTCCGATGTACGCTTCTAAAGTCAGGGTGTTAGGCACGTTGTTCACGAGGCAACACTGGTGTGAGAGTAGGGGCGTGAGCAGCTGCTCGACATCGAACTTGTCTCCGCACAGTGTGCAGAGGAGTACTTTCACGTCCGGCGTTACGTTGTCGCCGGGTGGGAGGCCTCTGTACAGCTGTTGCATCAGGCCCGCACGCCGTTGGATTCCTTCGATGAGCGACGATATCGACAGTAGCACCGACGACCGGTCGAAGCCATCTTCGACGTAATTTACGGCAATGAAAGGACACTGCAGAGCTCGAGCGCGATTGTTGCCCTCATCGCGGAGGTGCTCCAGCTTGGCTTCGTCCTCTCCCTCACGGCACAACAGCACCATTACTATCGGCAGACCGTGGAAAGGCTGGCGGTCGTCTTCGAGGTTCGACAGCAGAGTTTTCTCCAAGGACTCGCGTATGTATTCCAGAGAGCTGCAAGAGAATAATCGAAATGAATGCTCCGGTCGAATGATCGGCTAATGCGGATACCGTCGTAGCGGGAGATGATCGAAGCGAATGATCTCAGGGGAAAGTATGAATTACCTCGAGTCCTCGTATAGGCACAAACACCCGTGAGGGATGAAATCAGCTGTCTTGAAGGAATTTTCCGGGAGTGATACATCGCCATCAATCAGACGTAGTTCGAGAGCGATCCTCTCTTTTTCCAACTCGAGTATAAACCGGCCCGAACTCTCATCGATGGTGTTGCAACATTGATTCTGCAAATTCGCCAGTTTTAGAGTTCCGTCCAAAAATCTGAATGGGACTCCCAGTACCTAAAGTTCCGAGTTCTAACATCTCCCCTTTGGGGAATGATGCACACTAATTTCGTTCGAATCAATTTTCAACCGATTCCACCCCGACCACCCCTTTTCCTCATGATTCCTGAATTCCATCGGCTCTCGGGCGTCGGCGGTGCGACGCGATGAACTTCGAATAATTTTCTGCATCTCTCGCGATCGAACAAGAAGCCCTCCCAACGAACGCGAATCCGAAAACAAGTTGGAATCAAGTGCGACCGAAGCGCAAGTTGTCGCTATAGACTGGCGCTCGTGTCGACGTCGTGGTGGTGGTCGTTGCCGGAGACCCTCTCGCTCCAAAATGGCACCCTCCATCCGTCGTCGACAGAGGCCACCCGTAACTCGGGCCGTTGTCAAGCATATCCGCAGGCCGAAGCAGCTCGTAACAGCTGTAGCAGCCACCATCTGCACCGTAGAGGCTAGTTGGGACGAAAAACTCCGTGTAGTGAGTGTTCGAGATGCACCGTTAGACAAATGGTGATACCGAGGAGCTAGAATTGCATTCAGTGAAAAAGAAGCGATCGCCCAAGAGGAGGGAGGCAGAAGAAAGTCTCGTAGCTCAGAGACGTCGACCATCTCGGGAATCGCTCCGGGAAACTCGAACGATGGATAGCAACTTCAGCTATTATGGACGGGACATGCAGGATTCGGTGTCCCGTCTCCAGAAGAAATACTGGTCGACGAAACAGATCCTCATCAAAAAACTTGGACGCAAAGAAGACGATAGCTTGATAGCATCTGATGCCGAGCTGGACGCAAAACTCGAATTGTTCGCGGCGATCTACCACTCGTGCGTAGCGCTGGAGAGAATTCTCGAAAACTATCAGGACCGTCTATCGATCCTGAGCCAGGAGGAAAATACCATGGGTAGGTTTCTTAAAGAGTGTGGAAAGCAAGACAAGACCAGGGCTGGCAAAATGATGACCGCCACCGGCAAATCTCTCGCCTTCACGGCCCAGCAGAGACTCACCCTTCGGAATCCTCTGGTACGGCTTTATCAAGAAGTAGAAACCTATCTGAATCGAGCCATAGCCGACACTGAAGAAACCGTGAACAAAATGGAAAAGTCGCGGACAGATTATCGAGGCGCCCTCCTCTGGATGAAAGAGGTTTCGGAAAAGCTAGATCCGGACACCTATCGACAGCTGGAGAAATACCGGAAGGTCCAGGGTCATGTGAAGAAGACGAAAATGAGCTTCGAGAAGCTCAAAGTCGACACACTGCAAAAAGTCGACCTCCTGTCCGCATCTAGATGCAACATGTTCTCACACGCGCTCGCAGCGTATCAGCAAGCTCTTTTGGCTTTTTGGGAGAAAACCGCTCAGGCACTGGCGGATGTTTCGGATAGCTTCAAAGGTTATCAGCACTATGAGTTCACGGTCGTCAAGGAACTCGCCGAACCGAGTCGGAAACTGGCGAACGAAGCCGGCAACATGACGGAACCGGATTCGCCGTCGAAGAAAGTACGTATACCTTCGAGACCCCGGCTCGGGAGGCAGCAGAAAGGCGCACGCCGCTCGTTACGGGTTCGTAATTTCTTCATTCCATTCATATCTTTCAGGCCATGGCCGACGGGGACAAAGATCGCGCAATGTTCTATAAACCCGAGTTCAAAGATTCCCCCGAGCACACAGCGGCGACTGGAGCCGAAGACAAGAAAGTCAGGGAAGCGGGGACCACGGCCCGAACAGAGCCCGCCACGGAAGCGTCTTCTTTCTTCTTGGACGATGACGAACCCCTCCTGTCCCTGACCGCTGACGAAGGAAAACAAAAAGTCGATCTGGATTCCATGCTCGACGACCTGTTCAGTCCGACGAGCGCACAGAACGCTCCACTAGGTGAGCACGCAAGCGCGTTGGACGAAAGTCAATATTCGTGTCCCGAGCTAGATACGAACGGTTCCTCCAGCGTGATCACCGCCGACATTTTCAGGGAGCTTCGCCAAAGAATGGGAAAACACTTTCGGCAACCAAGAGATCCTAAAGCCGAACGCGGCCAGTACAGAGTCGCCTGGAGACGCAGATCTCCTGCTCGGGGGAGCTTTCCAAGATATCAATCTATTGGATGAGCTCGGGAACGGCGGAAAAAAAGAGGCTGGGGCGAGCTCGAGAGACGAGAAACTCATCCTGCCCTCTCAACTACTTAACCAACAGCTGAGCGCTTTGAATGCCTTCGGCGGAATCGAAAAGGCGGCCCAGCCAGCGCTGACTCCGACCCCGCCTCCCTCGAATGTATTCTCCATGTTCCAGGTATCTGTCGTTTCCACATCGTGAGCCGAGTCGTTGTCCGTGAGATTTCAAAGCGGTTATCTCTGAGGATCAGTCAGCTGCATTTCGCCGCTCAGTGATTCGAACGGAGAGCTTCTGGAGAATAATTCTCTTCTCGTTGCAGGAAAAACCGTCGAACACCGGCCCGGGTAGGAAGAGGTCAGCGGGCAAACAGGATTCTTCTGCCTGGCTCGGACTGTTCGCAGACCTGGATCCAATCGCCAATCCAGATGCCATCGGTGCCAAAAAGCCACAAGAGGAGCGGAATTGCTAAGCGCGCGTTCATTGATTTGCCCCACACAAATTCAAGAAATCAACTCGTTCACCACGAATAAACAAGCGCCCGCCTCGGATGAAGGGGTGTGGAGCGAGAAGAGACCTGGATATCTTTTCTTTCGGCTCCGTGATCCCGAATTGGCGATCCAGATCCCACCAGCCGATTACGAGTAGAGAGAGATTCCCCGGAGGTAATTTCATGATCCTCCAAAGAGACTCACCTTGAAGAAATGGCTGAAGCTTTGCAGCAGCGGTTTCGCAGCAAGGAATACGACGTTGAGCTGTTGCTCGCCATTCTCGGTGTGACTTAGCATCCAAGTGGAACTTCGAGCCCACGATTGAGGTCTGGGAGCCCTCTGAAGAGCACGACCCACCAGTTGGTCCATGCACTGGCCACCAGGACCTGCGGGACAGGTTTCCCGAACGGGGCCATGCACAAAGCCCAAATGGCGTAATAGAATCAGCATCCGCTCCTGGTCCAGCCGTTCTAATGTCTTGTATCTGATATCTTCCTGAATACACTCCGTGATTCGCTGAATGTCCTCCTGCGTGATGACTGAACCGGGTCCGATGTTGGCGAAGTCGTAAAAGAGTTCGGCTCGTTCTAGCAGAAGTTCCTGGAAATGTTTCTTGGCTCGTTCCGTAATCTCTAGCTGATGCTCGTCGTAGATGTCCTGAATGTCCTTTTCGCCAAGATGTTCATAGCAGTCGCGTCCCATGAACAGGACGCGCACCTCCGAGAGAGCTTTTCCGGGCGTGACGAAACCGGTTTCCTCGAGCAGTTTCTTGAACGCTTTGCGCTGATCGTTGCGCTTGTCTTCGTTGGCGAGCGACTGTCGGTGCTGCATGTAGCATTGTTCGGCGTCCTCTGTGTCTAGTAGTTGAAATGGAACGCGATCTTCATCGCATAGGCCGTCTTCGTTTTGGTCATCACCGAGGATCAGCTCCTCCCAAGACTCTTCCGGCCGGTCGATGAAGTACTGATCAAAGTCTGGGTGATTGCGAAGCTGCTCCTTCACTAGATTCCAATCAGTGTGCTTTATGGCGTCTAGATCAGGCAGGAGGTCGAGGAGTATGTCGGGTAGCACCCTGAGATACGCCTGTACTCTGCTGTCGATGAATTGCTCCTTGAGCAGTTTAGTGTGCTGGATGAAAGTCCGTTTCGCTTTGTCCTTGCCGAAGATCTCAACGTATCGCTTGTATTCGGTGCAGTTCTGCAAGCGCTTCGAGGCGGTCACCCACAGCGTCCTGTAGTCATTAACCTGGCCGCGAACCAGAGCACCGTAGGCCTCCGAGGCGAAGTCGCACAGCTCCTGCCGACACTTGAGAGCTTCCTGATACGACATGATCTTGAGTTTTCCCGGCCGAGCTTTGTCGATTAGATGCGCTAGCACCATGAAAGCCGTGTCCACGTTCACCGCGTTGTGAGCTGACGTCTCGATCAAGGGAATGTTCGCCGATTTGAATTCCTTGCGGGACAGAAGTCGATCCAACTCTCTGCGACGATTCATGAAAGAAACAGATTTTTTTTTAATGTCAGTCCCTGGATGCTTCGAGGCATTCAAAAACGGAAGGCGTCCATGCGCTCAGATATTGGCGAAGTACGACGGGGCGAGAGTTCACAAACCTCTGCATGGAATCATCGGCTTCGTCACATTTCGTAGCTACCATCACGACAGGCTTCTTCGCTCTGAGAACCTGTCCCAGACAGGCGGCCGTGTACTCAACAACGCGCTCATTCGATCGTCCGGGAACATCGGATACGTCGAAAATACAGACGAATCCGTCTACGTTGAGCCGTCCGTCAGGCATGAGTTTTTGTTCGTACTCTTTTTCAATCCCTAATTGCAGATAAGGACGGATGTCAGTGGGTTGCTCTCAATTGGCTCATGTGCTTTCCGCTAGGCCAAGACGCTCCACATTGAACTCACGAGGCCGTGGACGTCTGCTATCTATCCCGTACGGATGAGCTACTCACCCAATTGATTTTTACAAATATACATGAGTTTCTCCGCTGAAGTCAGCCGTAAGGCAGCGCATCGTTTCACATAGGGGTCCGTCTTGCCACTTTTGAAAGGTTGGAACGATGAATCGTCGATGAATTCGGTCTGCTCAACTATGTGGAACGTGGTCTGGACGCCTGCCACCCCCGGGGGCAAAGGCGGGACGCCGCTGCCGAGCACGCCCGGTCCTGACATGGTGCTCATACCTAACTCCTGATTCATTTCTGCAAACCGAAACAGAATCGAGCATTAGAATATTTCCTCGAGTCACCTCGAAGGAAGGCACGGAGAGATTTATGGAGGCACTTCGCCTCCATAAATGGGCGAGCCCGACTCGAGAAAACTTACCGGAGAATATGTCAGCCGATGTTCCTTTGGTAACGTGCCCCCAATAGAGATAGTGATCATTGTTGACCACTCGTCCTCCGAAATCGGTTTGCGATAAAACCGATATATGATCCGTGTAGTAATCATCTTCGCCTGGACGCACGAATCGATTGCAAAGGCACGATTTCCCCGAGCCCATGCATCCCTTCTCCTGTGCAAGGAATAAGATGAACGACTTAGAATTTCAGCCTCGAGTCTCAATTCATCGCAATGCGGCGTATAAAGGGGATAACTGACCTTTTCGGTGCCAGACAGACCGATCACCGATACCGTTATTGTTCGCTTCTCCACCGGCATGTTGGAGTCCTGATTCGACGCATGATACGAACCACTACGGCGACCCGTAGTGGACGCCGAGATTTTCTTGAGTGTGGTTGTGACCGACATGGTGTTCGGATATCCGTCGCGTCACAATCTCCTCTACAGGAGATGACGCTACGATCGTATGATATTCATCTGAAATTGAATGATCCAGCTCAATCGATCGCTAGAGTTTCACAAATCATCGACCTCAAATGGAGCTGTGAATTTTCGGAATGGTTTTCTGCGTAGTTCGCGGCTCTTCGCGCCATCTGTGCTCCCTCCATGGGGGATATGGCGAGAGTGGGAAATTCGAAAGGCGATTCCTATCCGTACTCGCAACCTCTCGTCCGACGCAAGGTTGGGACGGTAAGATAAGCTCCTAAGCCACAAGGGAGCGACCCTGATCGGGAATCGGCTCGAGCCTTCGAACGCTCTTGCTTTTCCGGAGGTCCTCGATTTCAATTCCTATCAGACACGATTTGGAGAAGATATCAAGCGAGATAATACTCGAGGTCTCTCAGTTGGACTCCATGAATCGATAGGCAAGGTGGTGACGGTCTCACAAGCAGAGATTGGATATCGATCCTGAATGGAGTCGCGCTTGAGGCGAGCATGTTGATGGATGTGCGCATCGAGCTTGCTCGGAGGCTTCTCAGAGACATACTCGGTATGTCTCACATCCGAGGCACGCATCCTCGCGACGAATGAACGAAAATTGAGAGCGCATTCCATCCTTGTTGGAGGGCCCAGTCTAGGTGTCATTTCATATTCTGCATCGCCACTCTCAGCGCGTCTCTCTCGCTGTGCGATAATGGAACATGCGGAAGTACGGATAGGAGCGGATGTTGTCCGGATGAAATCTGCGTGGCGATAAATTGTAGAAATATCAGCGACAAAGAGCGACGGACGCAGTAATTGATGTTATAAAACCAAATTCTGATCCCGATACTATGCACAATTAATATCGTCCAGCGTGAGAATGGGCTGCTGTGGTGCTGATGAACCCCCGACGGTGGGCAACAATCGATCGCTCTGTACGCTGATTATCACCTGGTTCTTGAGATCGTGGTTGTCTCAGAGGAACCCATGCCTCCATTCCTCGACAAGTAGTAATCATCGAGGATGCGTCGCAAAATCAACGTCAACTCCGGTAAGCGCGTACTAGAGGCTTGCTCACAGGATCATCAAGTCTGGGAACCTCCTCCTCTTCAAAACTCGTTGTCAGACCCCGACTATCGCGACCGAAAAACGCAGATCTGAGCACCTTCAAGCAAGTGAAGTATCGATGACTCGACTGTTTACGGAGACTGGGGCGCGCGAGCTCGTTCCGACTTGATACGCTCACCAGCTCTATGATTTATAGGGGGGCTACCGTCCAAGACAGCGCAGCGTACGACCTTCCATACTAGAATGAGTCTAACATCTAGGAAAAGGAAAGGTCACGACGACCACGCAAGTAGACGCGTCAACGAGGATCCGCTCAGGAGCCAAGATTCCACCAGTCCTATCCGATCATTGAGAATACCCAGCAGATCGGCGACCAGCTAATCGCAGTTTTGTCAGATGGGAGTCCCGTCCGGCTTGTCCCCCGGATCTCGAAACAAGAAAAATCCATGGTTGAAGTTTCTCAGGAGCTGAGGGTCGAGCGCACGTCGCCAGCGAAGATACCAAGCATCAATCTCTGAGCACCTCTACTTGGGAGACGGCCAAAAGAGCACACACTTTCCCGAGATCGAAGGCACGAGAGGATCACTCACGCTCTTCGCAAAGATGATTATGACTCCTCGATGGGCTCTGATTAGATAGTGGGAAGCCTAAGCCTCACCCGAATATGTTCGGACGCGCAGCGTACGGGAGGGCGTACGAGACACGTCGATAGCTCGACACGGGGAACGCTCCATGCATGAATCGAGTTCCACGGGCATCGACAAGCTCGAGCGCCGAACGACTTGGATTCTTTTTCCCTTTGCGACTCCTGGAATCGAGCAGCAATAAAATGCCCTGCTGGCCCGGAGGCTAGCCAATCGGCTCGTAAAGCGAGAGAGCGATACTTTCATCTCCCGCCAGTCGTACATGGCAGCACACGAACTTGGTGAGAACATACACTTTTGTCTGGCGACGCTCGTTATTCCGTCGACGGTCGCAATCTACATAGCCGGCGAGTACAATATGCAGCGTTTGTGGCTTGCGCAGCTGACGTACCGTTCGTTGCCGTCGGGCATGCGTGACATGCATACCCAACATATAATATTTGGTACGCTTTCGATACGAGACCGAGAACGTGTCTTCGTTCCGGGACGATAGCTCGAAGAGATGAGCAGCCAATTATGATACTCGGACGAAAACTCCCAACTCCCTCGATCCCCGAACCAGGAGAGGACTCCCAAGAATCAGCCAGGTCTCAGCCGCATTGGGGAATAGGTAGACCCGGAGGAGAGTTTCTCCGGAATTTAAAGCCTCGCGACGCTCTCGAATCATCCCAACCCAGCACCCTCTCTGCGACGGGAGTCGGATCCCCCGATTTTGACTTGAAGAGAGGTTTCCGAAAGTCGACATCCGTCGGAGCGGTAGCATCCGCTGATAGAGCTCGTTGCTGAACATACTCATATCATGCCCGGCGGGGCTCGCACGAAACGCGTCGTTGTTGTGATTCCGTCGCTGCTGCTGCAGCTCATGTCGGGTCATTGTCGGTGATGTAATAGATGCCTTCGCATTCCAAGCTCGAAACTCGTTCTGAGCATCGCTACCTAAAGGCGTCCGGAAACTTGAGAAACACCTTACCTCCCGACATCGGGATGATTTCCGTCAACACAGCTCGGAGAGGCCGCCGCGACATTGGCTGTCGATGAGGTAGAAGAGTATCGCGCGAAGACTGTAATTGTTCTGCCCGCGGAATGTGTGCGCACACTCAAGATGCTCGCTCGTACAAAAGAAGTTACTATACGTCCCGATCCACCCGAACGGAATTGCTTTTCGTCGTCATTGCATTTCCCCACGGGGATCTGCGTTAACCGAGTTTTTTTCTATCCGGAGGAGCCATTGTGTACGATGTTTCGACTTACGAGAGATGCGCGGTTCTCCAATCGGCAATGCGATCCTCCGCTGACGTCAACGATTCCGCATCGAGCCAACCTATTTTGGTCGACACATACCCTCAGAAAAGTACCCCCTCCCCCGCGTACATTTTCATTTCAGTCCGAGAATAAGACGAAAAAGTTCTTCCGCCGCCGGCCGGACGTCACTGAGCTATGATAGACGGTCAAAGATGGAATCCGGCTTGTACGTGCCCTAGGATACGGGAGCAGTACGTTTCGAGCGGTACGCGTAGCATTCGATACATTGAAGGCTCGCACCTCAAAACTCAGAAGAGCCTCTGGGGTAATCTCAGTGGGGTTCCGATATCTTTAGATTAGACCCAACGACCCAACCATTCGCGCTAGGAGTCGGCCGTTCGTAATCATGTTAGATGCTCAGGAACTGGCTGTGAAAAACGGCAGAAGAGTTGCTCGAATGCACACGAAACACAAAAGCCGATGAGAAAAACGGAATTCATTCGTTGAGACAGGAAGTCTTCGAACGAAGCGTGTTGCTTCTTCGGCGTCTGAATCACGAAACATCGGCCACCCAGGGGAAAACAGCTGCATAGGCAGCAGCAGCAGCCTTAGCGATATTGGCAATGGAGGAAGCCCGAGCGAGACCCTTCGGTCGACCTCAAATCGCAAACATCCCGAAAAGACTCTGGGAGTGAAAACCATTAAAACCCCTCAGGACTATTCCTCCCAAAACGAGGAGATGCCCCCTCCGAGCGAGCTGATTAGCGAACCAGTGAGAGAATTATTCCGCGAAAACGTCTCTCATGGAAGACCGAGCTCCGTTCGCTGCGGTGTTTCATCATAGTTCTTCAATGACGTCTTCCGGAATTCAGGCGATGACTCAAAAGCATGTCAGTACAGGTACGAAATGGCCTCGACCGGACCGTCCCCTCCGAAACGGTTTCACCACTGCTCAACTGTCAAACCGAGAGCACCATGTGCATTACTTTGGCAATTCGGGAGTTCCGATGTATGACGACCCTTCACCTCTATATCGATGACTTAGACGACCACGATTACATTATATGTTTATTCCGGTTACCCCATGCTTCTAGGAATCACATCAAACTGCAAACACGCGAGGCAACTCCGGTCCTAACCCTACGCTTGTCGGATAGAAAACACTCACTCACACGACTCACTCACCTACAACGGTGTACCAGTGAACAAACAATTAGAACAGCGATCGTTGACCACTAACAGCATTCGAAAAAGTTTGATTTCGAGGAATAAATTCCAGCATCACCTCCGAAGTGGTTGCTGAGAGCTCACCACTGCATCGAATTCTCTCAATACAAGGCGAAGAAGCACTTATTCTCCTCCACGGCGGCCATGTTTGTTTTGAACTGTCTCCTCCGCCGAGAGAGGATGAGAATGGACAACGCCGACGACTAGACATCAGAAACCTGCCAATTAGACATGAGATTCGGCTTTTACGCTCGAACGCAGTATACGGCGTACTTTCGCTCGCTTGTTCTTATAGGGAGTCTATGGTAAATGCGCACAAGAAGGATGGGTGTTTAAACGGCTCAGAAATAAAATCTGTCGACGGGAGAGGGTAGACAATGATGCCGATGATCTTTGCAGGAATTTCGAGCGGGATCGGGCGGTTCCTGCCGCAGTTTTCCAAGTCTGATATCTTGATCGAAGGGAATCGGGACCACACCGGTGACATGAGGGACCCTGATGTCTACCGACGGCGGCCGGCCGAGAAGAAGGAAGTAGGGGGAGTATCTGGATCTGTCGTCTGCTTCGCGAAACTGGCGGCACTCCCTCGGCTCTCGAGTCTCAGATGACGCAGATAGTCGTGCGACAAACGATACTCTTCAAGCTTGTGGGGGGAACTGGACTATTCGGGTAGATCGACGCGGAATGAAGTCTCAGTGGGAGACCCCTATCCGGGAGGAAACCCGATGGCAACGAACGCTCGAATCCCTCCAATGGCTGGTGAGGATCGACCGACAGCCACCTCAAGCACCGTCGTGAAATCTCTATGGAGCGGCCACCGCACGATCGTGGTCAAGTCGTTCTGTTGTGCGTTGTCAGCAGACGCCGGTTTCGATTGTAAAAAATCGCGCTTCGAATCTCGAAGATATCTCGGTCTAGTGACAACAACAGATAAACTTTAAGGTCGTCCCGTCGGACTTGAGCTTCAAGGTGAGTTCGGACGAGGAACTTGGCCGCGACAGAACTCGACACCCAGAATCGCCGACGAGCGGTAGTCCGTAGGTTACTTCCATCAGTGAGAGTCGACGAGCGCGGTTTGGAGGAGAACATTATTTCAATTCCAGTCGGATTTATGCGGCTGTCATCATCTCTGCTTCTGAAGAATCAACTCAAGATGGCACTAACTCGCGAAGTCATCAATATCGAAGCGGCACCGAAGCCCATCGGACCGTACAGGTGATTACCATTAGTGCGGAAGTCCCGCGCATTGGGAATACTCTCCACAAGGCAGTCGCTCGTTTTCGTATTGACTTTATCAGTCTCTGTCTCTGTCTCTGTGTTCTTCGAATCTTTTCATCGTTCTTCTCTTAGTCATGCAGTGCGACTCGGTCAGATCGTCTATACGTCGGGACAAGTTGGTTCAGATCCGAAGACCAGGACTCTGGTTCCTGGCGGAATCGCTGAGGAAACGAGACAGGCATTGACTAATTTGAGGAACATCTTGGAGAGCGCAGGGTCGGGACTGAGCTCAGGTAAGCTTGTGCATGATTTCTCGCGATGGAGGAAGTGTGAGAAAGTGTTCTCTGAATCCGTTCCCTGAATGGTTTCTCGTCGATCCGAGAATCCTAATTCACCGGCTCTATATTCTAAAACGATTACCTACGAATGAATCGCAGTGGCGAAATGCACCGTGTTCTTGGCCGACATGAAAGAGTTCGCCGACATGAATAAGGTCTACGCTGAATGTAAGTTTCGGGTGCATAGGAATATCTACCCTTGTTGCTATAAATAAGAAGTACCTGCTGAATTCGGAACTAGTGACCCCTTACTCAACCTAATCTCTCGGCTCCCTCACACAGTTTTCCCCACGCAACTGCCGGCTCGTTCCGCATTCCAGGTCGTGGAACTACCCATGGTAAGCGACGCAAAGAGAGAGGAATCTCGACGGAAGGGAGAATGTAATTCAAGCGGGGAAATATTTCCCAGTACGAACGCTTGTCTGATTCCTCGATGGTAAGGGAAGAATTTGTTTCCCAGAAAGCGCGGGTGGAGATCCAGGCTGTGGCTGCAGTGACGGACCTCTCAAAGCTTTGAGCCAGCTCAGCGCTGCATGATTTTGGCCGGGAAATAGAAATATATTTACGTAGTGTCCAAGTCTCGCACAGAACCTCGTTCTCCTTCTCGCTCCGACCCCTCTGATGTGAGTCGAAGGCTCCCACATGGACAGTGCCTCGATGCTCCTCCAATCCGCGATATGCCTTCGATCGCGGCATCGTTCGGACAGAGCTTCTCCGATTGGAATTGTTTGATGAGTGCCGATCCGAAATTTTGATTCATCGTCGGAGGCCGCAGCCCCCCTCGGCAGCGAGTTCAGAGAACGACCGTGAAAGAGTTCGCTGTCGCAAGCTGTGGTGGAAGCCGCTCGCCTTGCTTCAGAGATTAAACACGTTCCGCATTCGCTAAGCTGGAGTCTCAAGCTTAGGACACGAAGCACGAGAGGATCTCCGACCCGGTTTCTCGGTAGAACTCCTTTGTGCGTTCCCCAGTGATCTCAAGGGTGAAGCCGTCGACGGCTTCCTCTGACGGAGCTGAATTGACTCGAGTTCCCTGCCGAGATCCCAAAAGCGAGGGATTCGACCTTGGCCGAATCAGTGCTCGAGAAATCGCACTGTCCCGCAGCGATCGCAAAGGGTAATTCCCGCGTGGCCGCGACGTGCCCTTCCGGTGCGTTCTGGGCACTGCGTGGAACCAATCTCTTGAAATTCTAACAGAACACCGGCCGGGCTCTAGTACTGGGCAACGCTCCTCCACCAATGTGTTCAAATGAGCAGAGTTTTCCTCAAATATCAGGATTCCAGATGCTAGGGACAACGCCATCAATCCTCGCATCCCAGGTTCGGCGTAATCGGTCTCTGAAGCGGATTTTCGGGTGGGTCCAGCTGAAACCCGCATGATACCCGAATGACGTCTCGGTGCTGAATATTTGCGTGTGTCTTCGTTCACATCCATAACTAAGTTCTCTACACGGGGTGGCTATCCATTCTCGTCGCCCGGAACGGTAGGAATCTCGAATGATTCAAACCCGATCGGAGACCGGGTGCTAGGAGCAGGAAACTTCCGAGAATGCAGAGCAGCACGTATTGAATCACACCATCGTAATCAAACGCGAGTCCGACCTCAGGCCTGGGGATCGAACTCGCCATCTCAAGATAGGGGAGGAATACGCTAAAGGATGGGAGAAAAACTCGTGCTTTTCTCAGGGCATGTGATTCGGAAGTATTCAGTCTTCGAAGTTGAATCCTCAGAAAAGGCCCGACTCCGAAACTCCGCGACTGAGTGAGAGATGCGATGGGCACGCAGCTAATCAGCCACAACCCAATTCCAGAAGAAATACGATCAGGATTCAAACAAAACGAGTAGAGATATATATTTTCACGAACGTGAGCATTTGTATAAATTGATCTTTTCAAATATCTTTGGTCCGTGCGTGCGAAGGAGCCGGCTCACGTTCAGATGATTTGTTCCCTGATTTCGACCCCTCGATCCGGGCCGAGATCGATACAACAACTTTTTACAAAGCTCCATGCTCCCCAAGTGTCTCGCTTGTGAATCTTCCGAATCCTCCAATGACTCTCGTCCGGAAGGGTGAACACTGCGAGCTGGAAGCTCTCGGTCGCGATCTTAAATCATCTATTTGAGCTAGATATAGAAACAAATTATCGCAGCTACTCTTTTCCTTCCTCAACTAATCTCGACGTATCTTGCTCCTCATCCTTTGCCCATTCCTCAACCTCGGCGGAGCCCCAGATCAGGAATATCAGCGAACCCGCGAGGGAAATTGCAGCGGTGATGACGAAAATCGCGTTCCAAGCCGCTTTCGTTTCGTTTTGCTGGAAAGGATTTATGTTTTTAGGAATCTTCGTAATATTTTAAAAAATCCAAACGAGTGTAATATAGGCGTGAGAGCTTCTGTCCAGCATTCCTCAGAACCTACCTTGGTCATGTAGCCTACAAGTAGGGGGGCTAAGACTCCAGCGATGTTGGATATCGTGTTGGCGAAGCCTTGGATGGCTCCGGCTTGCGACGGTCCGATGTCGATCGGGATCGCGACATCTCCTCCGGCGGTGAGACCGTTCACGGATGTGTTCAAAATCAGGATGGCCACAATGGCCTGTTTGTCGCCACCCAGGAAAGGAATGATGCCGATAGTCAGCGCTCCAAGGAATTGTGCGGTACACTCGTACGATTTTCGAACTCGAGTGATTTTTGCCGGGTTTCGTGCGATGAAAACGTCGGAAGACCAACTGGAGATCAGAGACACAACCGCGTTGCCCATGTACGATGCCGAGCTGATATAGCCGTTCTTCTGGATGTCGATGTCGAAGATATACTTCAAGTAACTCGGAATCTCAGTGAGGAATATATAGAATATGAAGCTGTTGGTGAACTTGCAGATCGAGATGACCCATACGGCTCGCGAGCTGAGAAGAGCTTTCCAGGGGACTTTCCGATTCTTGCGATTCTCGAAGTTCAGAACGCCCCGCGTGTTGACAATGTACGATTTCTCTTCTTCGCTCATCCAGCGGCACTTTTCGGGGGTGCTCGTCGCTAACAAGTACCACATCAATCCCCAGACTACACCGAGGCCGCCGGTAACGTAGAAAACACCCGGCCAGCCCCAGGCCGACTCGCAGAGCCAAGCGGATAGTGGAGCGGCTACGACCGTGCCGATAATTGTTCCAATGTTCGCGACCCCCGCCATCCACGACCGCTCGGTAACAGGTGACCATCGAGCGCACAGAGCGTAGAGGCTAGGATACGTGACTCCTTCACAGACTCCCTCAAGGACCCTCAACACGAAGAATGCAGAGTAGTCGATTCTGACCGCGGCCTCGGATAGGATCGTCAGGCAAGCGGTGAGGAAGATTCCGTAACCGAAAACCCATTTAACCGAGACGCTCTCGGCGAGGTAACCGCCAGGAATCTGCGTGAGAATATACCCCATGAAGAAAGCCTGCAACAACCAGCCCCGCATCGACTCGTCCCAGGGATAAACCGGGACATCGGGACGTGTGCTGTTCCCTTGCAGTGATAAGCTCAGGTCGTCGGTCGAGTTGTCAGTGTTGTTTGTCACCATGGCGAGTATCGTGATGCTGAGGTTGGTGCGCATGGCGTACACGAGAAACATGCCGTAAAACACGAGGAACTGCATCATATATCTGAATTTGAATTTGTTCTTTGTGTCCTGGATGGGGGGGCTGTGCAACACCACCTCGTCAGTTTCGATCGATTCATCTGGTGGCCACTGCGAGCTCCCGGGCTGATCCTGATGCGACTGATTTTCCATTCCGGAGGGATTCCGCGTCTCAGAGTCACAGGCAGGGTTCTCTCCGCTGTTTGAAGTCCTCGGCGCTCACTCAGCCAGTTCGTTGACACAAAACGCACTAGTTGTCACGCGAGCTCTCCCACCCGTTTCGGAACTCTCTTGGTACGTTCAAAAAATGGAATACATCCACGAAACGCCTCTCGTAGGTGAGTGTTTTAAGCTCAGAGGATAAGATCAGCTTTAGGATGATGTAGAAGTTTCGGGGAAACCTTGTGAGTTCCGGAATCACTGCCGATGCACAATTTTCGAACACCAAAGGGGGCGACAGCTGTTAGCGCACTTATGACTTCACAGCTGAGTGTCTCCCGCACGACTGGCTGACCGGGCGAAGAAATCGCATTATTCGCAGTGGTGTTACTAGCGGTCTTGTGCGTTTGTTTCCGATTCACCGGGCACCCAGCGCCACCTAGCGAGAGAAACCCCTGGATGGGATTGAGAAACGCGAAATTCCTCTATCGTCGTCGTCATGAGTCATGACGGACTTTCACGACCAACGGGCTCCCTCAAGCGGGTCGAGCTCTTGGAATTCGCGAATGCTGTACGAGAGCTCTAATTCCAATTGAATGGATGCGCTAGAGGCATTTGTCAAGCTAGAAACCTGATTTCCATTGGCACTGTAGATTCGATAAACATATCTCGACCAGCGGATTGAACTTCTCGGGATTGACGGAGACAAGCTCATCTGCCCTTGATTAGAGCGATTCGGAAACATCAAGACGGATGCGCGTGCATCCGCCCGGGATCCCGCATATTCGACGGACAGAGAATCCGTATCGTTGATCATTCATGGCGAGCTGCGATCACGAGAGTCGCCACCTTGGGATCATCCCCTTACTCATTTATCGTATACTTCCGGTTTCATCCATCTCCGAGAGCTCGCCAACCAGAAGCCCAAATGCTTAAGGAATCACCGACTGATGGTTGTTTCACTGGCTTTCATGCAGGCTCTCGACGGGGTTTATCTGGCGACAGACTGGCCACTGGATTTTCATTCAGCATAGTCCTCTTCCCCAGAAAATTCCACGTGACACGTGCACCGTAGATTATGAGTCCTTAACCCGAGTTTGTCTCGGCGATCAGAACGGGTTGATCCCACAAGGCTGAGAGACTCGCGCCAGTTCACATCCGCCAATTAAGAATAGTTTTCGGAATGGAGTCGATCCGTTCCGACTCCGAAACATAAACACCCGGGAACCCACACGATTCGCGCCGGCTCTCTCGCTAGATAGTGACTCGTGATTCGATTCGCCATGGCTGGAGTATTATTCGAAGATATTTTCGATGTAAAGGTAAGTTCAATTATTCTGCTCATCGTCGATGATTCGGCTAATGTGACTTAATCGTCTTCTTGAGCGTACATCTCTGATCCGGAAGGATCGAAATGGAGCTCGCGATCATCATCCGCGGCTCGACTGTCACATCGACCGCACTAAATAATGGTTCCGCGTTCCCCCGCCGCCCAATACCAATCGCTCCGTGCCGGATCGGTCGAGCGCTCCAGAGACGCGGTTATTACCGGTAACAAACCTTGAATGAATCGAGTTCCGCTCCCTCTTCTAGGACATCGATCCGGAAGGCAAGAAGTTCGACAGGTGTGCTCGACTTCATTGTGAATCCGAGTCCTTCAAAATGGACCTGATTCTGGACATCAACAGCCAAGTAAGCACACGGAAGTACAAAATTGTGGGATTATTCCACGTTTTTGGCGGATAGTTCGAATCAGAATGGAACTTGTCATTCATTGAACGGATAAGCTCTCTCTATCGAAAGATCCTCACGTCTTATCGACCAGAATCTGAGCATTTCACCCAGGTGGCTGAATGCCATCCCTTAGCAACGAAGATGAATTGAGGCTCAGGTACTCTGATGCGATGATAAAGCTAGAACTCGAACCCCTTACAGGTCTACAATGTCGAACTTGGAGACAAGTTCCGGCTGGTAATCGCGGCATCGCTGCGGGAAGATGGGTCCGATCCGGATAGCGGTGACTACAATCCAGCCGATGACACCCCTACGAGAGCCGACCAATTTGAATACGTCATGTACGGAAAGATTTACCGTATCGAAGGCGATGATGCTACTACTGGGGAGTGTACTCGACTGGCAGCTTACGTATCGTTCGGCGGGCTACTCATGAGGCTACAAGGCGATCCCAACAATCTCCACGGCTTCGACGTCGATAACCACGTCTATCTTCTCATGAAAAAACTCGCCTTCTAGAATGATTGGATCATTTTGTAAATATTGTTTGTGCATTCGAACCTGGAAAATCGCTCCTGAAACCTTTGGCCTTCTCAATTAGAGATCTACCATGTCTCGAACCGCACGGAAAGCATCATTTCCCGATGATCTATTCCTGCAGTCCGGACTTTGAGTCTCGCTCCTCTTCCGTGGGTGGGCTGCGCCAAATTAGGAGCTTGCACTGATCGGAATCATGGTGGGACAACAGATTGCGATCATTTTCGATTCGCGACCGCACTCATGCGCCTGCTCCCGTCCGCCTACACGAAGGCTCACCAGTCTTTGCTGCGCTTTCGAAGCACGCAATGCTCTGACGCTGGAGATAGACTATCTCCGCATTCCTGGGCTCTCGATCGATCCTGACCGTGGGTGAATTTTTGGAGAGAGGGGGGTCGGAGGTTCCTCAGTGCTCTCCTCGCGGAGAGTCTTCTGGCCCGATTCGTCTGGCTCCGAGAAACATCACCTGAAATCTGTGGTATTCGACAGCGCTCGATTGGAATCATCCGATCGCTCATCCTCATTGGAATGCAGTCTTCGGAGTCGGGCGATCGTCAGGATGCTTTCTCGAGCGTCCCTGCAGTGCAAGTTCGGAGTTGAATCTCACTGGACGTCTATTGACGAATCTTGTCGAGCTTCATGTTCTTCGCGTGGTCTTCTGTACCTCGGTTGTTCTTCAATCTTAGGGGCGAGTAGCTCGGGAAAATGATTCCACTGATCTTTCGGAGGGCTTCTCGATACCGCATGCATGCATTCATTCGGTCACGAGAAAATCACGACCATGAATGAAGTACTCCATACACAGCAGCAAATGAAGGAACCACGCCCCTAACTGTATTAATCTGCCGACCAGCCCCGAGATCATTGTGAGCGACGTCGCGTGACCTCAGCCGAGCTTCGTCGGCGTAGCGGAGGAAACTGCACCGGAAATCGAGAGAGGCTCCCAAATTTCTCGACAGGGAGCAGACTTCGGCTCTTGAGAGTTAATTGGGCTCCGGGAAGTCTCCCAGCCTCAGAAGGAGATCCTTCCTCGATGACAGCGAGCTGAAGATGACAGGCGGCGTCGCTATCCGCTCCATACTGTCTCCGGATGGACTTCACTGAACCACCTCGGAGATCGATCACCTCCCCGGATAAAAGCTCCATATGCTCCTGATGGCTCAATGATTCGCTTCTGGATTTTCGGATACTCCTACTTAGAGATTAGTGCCATTACGCTCCTTCACATTCAGTTCCAGCGTTGTGAAGACTAAGAATATGATATATGGTTTTTTTATAGTACATTTCCCCGGGTTAATTATAACATCGCAAAGGCCTCCTAAATCCACTGGAAATCAGCAGGCAGCGAACTCGACAGGAGAGCCTTCTCCTCTTCCGGAACCGGTATGCAGAATGGAGCTTGATCGTTCGTTTTGATGAAAAGTTTTCCGCTCCCGCTCGGAGTCAGCGACATCTCACCCTGTAAAGGCAACGAGTGATTCGAGGGGAAGCTCACATCCGCCGCGCCGTGAGCATCGCTTCTGGATATGCCCTTATAACGAATGAGCCTCGACTAAGGCGAGAAACCCGCGAACCTCGTATGTCTTCGGTGTACAGACTCCAGTCCTGACTTTTTGCCATTCTTCTTCGCAAGTTTGCCCGATATATCTACAAGCCTGGGGGAGGGGAGGATGAGAAGCGTCTCCTTATCGCTGTATGCTCTATGCATGAAAAATACTCGAATCGAGGTCTTCCCGTGTGCCCAGCACGGATGAACCTCTGTGCAGGAAAGATAAGTAATCCCGAACCTGTGGATCTTCGGAATTGAGGACGGCCTCATTGAAGAAGTGATGAGCGCGCTCGTGGTGACATTTCACATCTGCGGAAGATTGATTGGGGAATTCGTGTCCGAGGCCGAAACGTCAAGCATGGAGAGATCCATCAGGTCCAAGGGAAACTTACGCCACCAGCTGCACCCGGGTTGAGAAATTCCTCCATTCGGATAGAAATCGACGTGTCCGACGGGAGAGACCATTCCGACCTGAGTCACGAGCGGAGTGTCTTTCATTCCGCGAAGAGTTCCTCTTATCACCGCTTCGATTAAATTCCGCTTCCAAATAATCGCTCTAGCTCGTAAATACCTTCCCAGTCACTATTGACTCTCCGGCCGAAGTATGTACTCCAATAGTGAATTCGCTGTCCTCTTTCGTGACGTGAGCACCGTACTTCTCGAACGCGGGTGCAGCGGCGTCCAGAATAGTCATACGACCGAATTTCTGCCCTGAAAGTTTGTAGTAATGCCTGCCGGCAAAGCCGCCGACCTAGGAAAAAATGGTTCACAGATTGATTTCTTTCCATTTCTCCCCTCTCCAGCCCGTAATGAGAAACGATCGGCGATTTTTTATGGAAAATCGAGCTATGTTCCCTCGAGAGATCGAGGGATCTTCACCTGAGCTCCCATGCTGAAACCGATATAATGGATATTCTTATTGGAATAGCCGTAGATCCGCTTCAGCTCCAGGAGGAATTTCGCTGCCGCCCTCCCTACGCTCATCGTGTTCGCTGCTGCCTGGCTGTAGAGGGGTAAGGCGCTACCGCGTCTCCAGTCAATCGCGATCACGTTGGCATCCTGTGAAGGGAATGAGCTTCGAGTGTTCCGCTCGCCTCTTGACCCACAAGAAAAGTCTTGCTCAAGTCTGATTCCAGTCAGGTCAGGATTTTTATTGTCGTCATTCCTCGACGCTTACCTTGACCTTGAGGAGAGCGTTCTTCATGTCCACGACCCAGTACGTACGTCCGCTGCCGCCAAGTCCATGGCTCAACACAAAGAGAGTTTTATGCGTCTCCTGCAATTTCACAAGAATTCCTCAAGGAAGACCAGGTCAAGCTGGACATTGGTTTGGATTTCGGCACCGGGGATTCCGTGTGTAACTCTCCCAATGTTGGGTCGAGAATTCGTGATCTGATCGAATGCTCTACCCTCAGGGCGGGAATGTCGTTGTAAGTATTCTCGATCTCATGGAGCATCACAACAGGGGTATCGTTCCTGCTTCCTCGGCTGTACAGGTTGAAAGTTGTGTTGATGTTGCCTTGTCCTGGATCTTCGGGGAAACACCCGGCAAAGGTCATTTCCTTCTGGGTGAAGCATCCCACGTCGTGATCGTAACAGACTATCGATCTGCGGAAAGTGCGTATTTGGAAGGAGATTCAGTCCGCAGCGATCTAGGAGAGAAACAGAGGCAAACTACCGAAGTCTGAATGGATCGAGGTTGCTGGGGAACTCACTCGTCGTCAATATCGATGTTTCTCCGACTCCTGTGATGTTCAGCTTCGAGCATAGCATCGATGAACGGATCGGGGTGGGACAATCTCCCGGAAGCCCCTACAACCGCAACGGTCAGAAGTGAGAGCACTCGCATAGCTTGATTCTTAGATGGGGACATCGAGACAACTGATTGCTCCGCCGGCTTCCCATCGATTGCCTGGACGATGGGATCCGCTAATCCGTGGTGTGATCTAAAGCCGAGACTCATAAATCTTGTAGTCGCGGATGAAGGTCTCGACGCATCGGCGAGGGGCAAGGTGACGGTGACAATGAGACAAGTTCTGTCGAGTACTTTATGTTTTGATGTGCTTCCGCGATCGGTGCTATGATCTCTCGTACGGTAAATTGGTTCGCTTCCGTTCTGAATCTAAGAGTTATCTCTTGCGAGTGGCTGGGAGGGCAGCTCCGGGATCCGCATTCCGGATTACCCCCGGGTTTTCCTAGCGAGATGAAGGACCTATAAAACTATGCTTATCCAAAAAGAATCAGAGATCCCCGACAGCATAGAACCCGCGGTATCGAAGTAGGGGTCAGATTACATCGATCGATGGACGGGCGGGCGGTCCGAACCGCAATGTCAGAGGAAAGGCTCCCGCACGGATTCCGCCGCGTCCCGGGATCATTTTCCTATCGAATTTATTGATCTATGTTATCAGATATTTTTGCTTCATTTATTGAATAATCTTGTCATGGAGATGGTGTCTGAATCTTATCAACCTATGCCAGCGAGGCCATCGGCATTCGGTAGTGATCTGAGGGCCGCTGCCGCATTTCCCTTCTGCACCCCGATGGATATCCTCTGTAGGAGAAACTCTTCAGCTCTCTTATCCCCTGATGACAATTTGATCCGGTTATCAAATTGCTCCACTCATGTTCGGCAGAGGGGAATTTACTGAAGGATCCTCCCATTTCATTGAAATTCAGGTGCCGGTTGTCCTCCGGATTGCGAAGGTAGCTCCCGACGCGTTCAATGCTTTCAATCTGATTCTTTTCCCCAAGACCCCGCAATTAGTCATTTGTCGCCTGACCTCGTTCACGATTTTCGAAACCCAATCCTCAGGGAGACATACTCCCTCCGCTCCGCATCGGGCATGATGGTGGCCACCGCCAGAGCATCCGAGTTCGACTTCAGGATTCCGCTGGATTGACCGAATCCCGTCGACGGATTTCCATTTCGGGGCGGTCAACCCCGAAGTCTCTCTGAGGTCGTCGGTGCGCGGCTCCAGCAAAATTACTTGTCCGCCCGTCTCCATCGCGTGTGCGCTGATGCTTACAGCTGGGCCACATCACCGTCGTGAAACGCGCAAAAAGAGCAGGCGGTTAAGCCATATGATCCTGAGCGCGGACGTCCGACATAGTTGTCCTCGAAAGAGAGTACTTTCCGGCTTTAACTCTGAAGGAATCTCAGGTGCCAGCTCACAGAGGGCGACATCGATATGCTCTGTTGGGACTGATGCCAAAGGCTGGGATCGTACCTATGCGATTTGGGGAGGAAGACTTGCTATCGTTTATGTCCCGAAACTCATCCACCCTTCATGATGATCAGCGGAACGATCGACCGCCTTGCGACTCGCGACCGAGGGTCCCGCGGCGACTAGGACTGCGGCGAACCGGCCCGTAACGGCGCACGTGTTCGCCGAGTCATAATTTCGACCTCTTAAATTGCAAATCTTAGACAAGGTGGGTGAAAAGAAGATCGCATGGATCTGATTAGCAAACATTTATTGACATAGCTCAAATTATTAAACCATCCTTTAGCGCACAAATTGTGCCCACGGTGCTCCCGACGGCTCATTTAGGGATCTCGACATCGTAGAACTTACTGTCGCTCCGAGAATCGAGAGCGTGAAGTCGAGTCAACACCGAAACTTCTTCCACCATCTCGACGTAGGCTTTCTGACGCTTCTTCAGATCACCATTCCACCATACGAACAAGAGTCTCATCCACACATCGGCAGACGGGGCCTGCGATATGGTCCTCCTCAGAACCTCCTCCGGTAGCCGAGATATGAGGGATTCTTGCTCGAGAATCAGCTCCACGTTCGACAGGAAGTACTTCTCGAGCGTTCCGAGAAATTCCGGTTTACTTTTGAGCAGGACAGCTCCTTCGACATAGTACACGACATCCGCGGGCGTTGCGCGCAGTTGACCTGTGTAGCAGAAATCAACAAGACCGCTCACGACATCTTTTGGGAGACTGGTCGAAATCGAGCGACCGGAGACATTGAACTGCGACTTCAAGACGCAGCCATGGCATTTCACTCGTTCCTTGCCCGCACAGTCCACAATGAAATCACAGAACTCGGTGTCCGCGCGGAGGAATTCGAGCAACTCTGAGGGGTAATTTTCTTTCAGCACAAGAATCTCGCTGTCTTTCGTCTCCATCTGACCACGATTGAATGTCAACCGGCATTTTCGAAGATGGGATTTATGTGGGGCTCGTCATCGAGCGTAAATAATGGTCGTTCTCAGAACAATGCCGAGGAGTCTACGGAGAGCAAACTGAAGGTGTGTCGGCAAACTGAGAGCACGCGCGCTTATCCTGGGTGCGCGACTCCCCTTCATTCTTGCGGACTGAGACTAATCTTGAGTTTTGGTCGCTGAATGAGAGAAAAATCTTGGACTACGCTGAACAAGATACCATGTCCTTCGGAAAATCATCAACCTTCGGAAACATGTTTTAGAAACACTTTCGTCTGCAACTTTATTCTTCAACATCGAGTTAATTTACATTATTCAGTCTAACAGCGAGGAACTCAGAGGGCGAATTCAGCAACTATTGCTCCGTAATTAAATGGCAGCAATCCGCAAAACTACAGTGACGTTCACTTCATGGCAGGTCTGGGACTTCGTCCGAGCTTCGAAATTCGAGAAAATCAGTGGGGAAATCTTTTGGACTCAGGAAACTCTAACGCAGAAAAAAGCATTCGATGGGAGGGGGAACTCCGAGAGAAAATCCACAGCCGAATGTAGCTGCATTGAATTTAGGGACCGTCCGCTGCTGCTGCCTTCCCCGCCACTAGGCTCTTGAGAAAGGAAACTCTGATAGGGATCACTTTTCGCCTCTATTTCGCTCTTCACTGCACGTTGAGCATTGTTTTGACGGCTCGCACAACGTCGCTCGCCTGAGGTACGGCGCGGACTTCTAAACTTGCGGTGTACGGCATAGGAACATCGGCACCCGTGATTCTGCAGGATGAAAGAGCTGTGAGCGGATGGAGTCTCTCTTCCAGAGTGAAGAATAAATAGGTACTATTAGATTTGGTTCGCCCAGACTTATAGGAGTCGGCTCACCTGATGACGGGGGCGTCCAAATAATCGAAAACCGCGCTCTCCATGATGCGAGCACTGATATCGGATCCTACTCCAGAAGAAGGCCAACCGCCCTCGACCGTGACCAATCGATTGGTCTTCATGACTGAGTTGGCAATCGTTTCGAAATCCAAGGGACGAATGGATCTCAGATTAATGACTTCACACTCAATACCGGCCTGAAGAATCGAAAATGGATCTTTTAGTCGAAATCCTGGAGAACTGGTGATACACCGATCATTCTCTGCCTACTCTCTCAAGAGGCTCTCACCGCTGCCAGCTCGTTGGCGGCCTCCAAGCAAGCTCCAACTGGCTTCGAGTGTGCCACAAGCGTCACCGCGTTCCCGGTCCGCTCTATTTTCGCCTGCAAAGACGAGACATACGTATACCATGATTCCTGGATTCCCTCCACTGTTCAAAGTTTCGACCGATCGAAATCATTCACGGATGACGAACCTTTCCGATGGGGAGTACGAAATCTTTTGACATAGCCTCGTCCGACATGTCGAACGTTGTGCCGTAGACAAGCTCATTTTCCAAGAAGACAACCGGATCGTTGTCTCGGATAGCGGCCTGTTGCGAGAACGAGATTCAATCACATATCGACGGATTGTATGTCTGCGATATCGTAGACCACAAACGATTCGTTGGTGACTGAATATCGCCTGAAGCCCATGGAATTTCGATGATCCGGGACTCACCTTCAATAAGCCTTTTGCATCTTCAGAGTTATACGGGGAGAGTACTTTGAGACCCGGACAATTGGCATACCAGGAGGCAAAACACTGTGAATGTTGAGCGGCGACCCCGACAGCTGCGCCGTTCGGCCCTCGGAAAACGATGGGAACCGCGACCAGACCCGCACTCATGTAGAAGGTTTTCGCGGCCGAGTTTATCACGTGATCAATGGCCTGCGGAAAATAATGAGTTCACAAAACTCTTTCGTAGAAACATTCGGATGGAGCTATTGGACGAGAACAAAGCTTCTCGGACATTGCTCACTGTGAGCAGAAGTCCGGAAGGCGGAACGCTTCAACGTTATCTCTAATATCCCCGGGATGCGTTTGAGAAAATCTTGTTACGAGAACCAACCTGCATTGAGAAGTTGAATGTCATGAATTCGCAAATCGGCCGGAGTCCTCCGAAGGCTGCGCCAACAGCAATTCCTGCGAAACCTATTTCTGTGATGGGAGTGTCTATCACCCGACGGTCGCCGTACTTCTTCCACAGCCCGCGAGTCACCTGGTCGAAAATGAATTCGAATGTCAACAGCTATACATAGATCAGTCGCGAAGTCCCTTTAGCGAATATCAATGATCGTTATCACCTGCTTGAATGAAGCAAATTCCAGGAACTCACTTTGTATGCTCCATCGTACTGAGCGACTTCTTCGCCGAGAATGAAAACCTGGGGGAGGGGAAGAGAAACTTCCATCACTGATTTTCTTTCGGAGAAACTGGGCATCGACGTCCGTAACGTTCCGCTTCTACGCGACTGATTCCGTGTGAAGTACCGGTGATCGCTTCTCCAAAGATTCGAGTCAACGAAATTTTCCATCTATCGAATAACTCCGAAGATCCAAAGCCTCTTTCAGAAATCGCTCGCTCCGAAAACCTGATTTGAAGTGTTGGTTTCGCTCACGCCAAAATTTCATCGCGACACCCATGAGCTACAGGGGCGAAATTCAGAACAGATGATCAGGAGAGCATCGCGAAGGCGAGCAGCGCGAGAATATTCGGGGACATGGATCGTGTTAAATTCGATAACGCGATCACCTTGAGCTTGAGCGTTCGAACGACCGACCTCGGATAGACCGCTCATCGATAATTCATCTCAAGTGGACACGCCGGAATCATTCGTGCGCGAAAAATAACGTTCGATGATGATCATACCTCAGGGCTCAGCTGCAGTCTCTCTGAGTCCTAAAGCAAAATTACTGGGGTGCGCTAAAGGCGTTTCCAAATCGAATTCTACGAACCTTGTCATCGCGCTCCATCTCTTCGTCGATAGCGGCGTTTAGCGCATCCCGCACTGTCATTTGGGACGCTGCCACCCTCGGGGTGGTGCTGAATTGACGGAACACATTCCGTGAAAGTGAATTCCGCAGAAAATTCGCCGTCGCACTCATTTTGTTCTAACTCCGAGAGAGCCACGGTCAATCGAGTCAAGAGATTTTCTGCAGAGTTGTGGCTGGATGCAGCCGCGCTCGACGCTGCAGGTGTTATTGTTCCCCGGAATTTCTCAAATAATTCTTAGAATCAACCCGATATCGCTCGTAATCTAGCAGCGAGGAGCGACCATTGCTCTCGGAGCAGGACGATCAGGGGAACGACGTGAATTGTTCTTTGGACAGGAGTTAGCCGATTCCCACAGCTGTCTCGACCTGCATGGAATTCGAATGTCACCAGCAGCTCGATATTTGATTTTCCGAGCTCGCGGCACCGATGGACCTGAGACTTGCTGTTTCCTGTATCGACGATTACGGCAAAAGGAGGCAGTCTCATGATACGGGATTCTGAAGAATGAAGTCCACTCCGGCATCAGCAGTGCCAGGAGAATGTGTGCAGCACGCTGATGATCTCTGCTTAGAATAACGGGATCCGAAAATTCCAGTCCACCGCCCCCTTTCCGGAACAAATGAATCATTCCGGTGGGGGGTTGCTGACCTGTGTACGATCGATGACCGCTCTCAATCAGTTCACAGCTTGGCTAATGTTCCCGGCATAACCAGCTGTACCACCGAGAGGCATCGACTGGGAACGCTTCGAGTCGATTGGCTCCGAGCGGACTGGACGCCGCTTGCTCCGATAGACATCAAAGCCGGGGAAGGCGCGCGGCAGAGACTCGAATGTCCGATTCCGACGGACTTCACGCTCGATCGTTTTCCTGATGCGGAAAGTGCTCACGATAGCCATCCCTTCGCTGGTGGCCCCTATGGAAGATGCTTCACGCGATGAGGACCGCACCTCGTGGGCCGTGACCCCTCAGTTCATGAAGGATGACCTCAGCCGCACTCCGGGCAGCGCTTCGGGGCGAAAACTCATGCAGGTGACGACGGAAAATCAAGCAGTGTTACCAAATTCGACGACTGTAACGAGGATTGAGATCTCGTTCGAAATCATACTGGAATGCATATTCATCCGCTCTCAAACAATTCAACCCGTGCTTCCGGGCCCCCAGAGCTCATGTCCCAGTTCGATAAACTTCGTATGAGACGGGCCGTACTCCCCAGTCCCTCCAAGCCCGTCATGACAGAGTTTGACTGACCGAGCTCTGTGACACATCGCTCAATTCGTGTCGGGTTGCGGGCAGAGATCATCGGCATCACTGTCTCCGACCGAGAGCGGCCTGATTTCATTTTCATCTGAGTTGAACCTCTTCATGTTGTTCGTTGTTGTTCTGCACGTCATTCCGTAAAACGAATCGCCCCACGAAGCGTCTTGACGGTACAACCGTACGAGCGAAATCCTCACCCAGCTGAGGAGCGGACAGCAAGGACACCACCATGCTCTCATAGAGAAGGTGGGTGCGTGAATCTGAATCTGAGCCGCGCACCTTCGGCAGTGTTCGAGGAATCGGATTACTTACGGAGAGAGGGAGACGTCAGTTCCTCTCCAAATTTTTCTTGACACGCCGAATCTCATTCCCCAGGGAACGTTAGAGCAGAAAATAATACTACTCTAGTTTCTTGTGACTGGCTTCCGACAAATATTGTTTCAGAGCGAGCGCAAATAGATGCATAGTCCTTGCCCACAATCAGAGACATGTATCCGATTTAAGATCCATGGTGAAGTCTCCGTTCCTTAAGTCCCCGCGAGCTACACCTTGGGGAACTCTAGAAGAGCCTTCGAGTTCGAAATTCTCGCATCTCTTGCTCGGAAAGTCGCTGGTCTCCAGGATGACATTTGATACGGTCGACTACTCTACTCGAGCTTCTCCGGAGTAGTCATGTACATCTATGTTTCACCAATGTTTCAGAATACAGATCCGATCTCCGCGCAGTCAGGACCATGAGGAAGAGCTTCTCAGTCTTGACAACGATAGTTTTCGGAAGCTATGTGATTATTTCAACATTACTTCTGAAGTACCCGACTCTTCTTCACCGGAAGAAGCGACTCAAGTTCAATGGCGTGCACATAAGCCATAGAGGAGGTAATGATGTAGACTTCGGGAGGCAGTCAATGAGCAATCCCAATCTCTTACCTCGAGGAGTTCCGAAGAGAAGCCATTTCCCATTCTTAATTTGACATTCTCAATCCATCTCTCATAGGTGCATTCGAAGGAGTTGAGAACACCATCGACACCTTCCAGCATGCAGCCTCTGCTTGCGGAACCGACATGCTGCATCTCGACGTTCAACTCACCCGGGATGGACAGGTGAACAATTTTAGAAGCTCATAACATGGTTTTTGATGCTGTTGGTCTTCCAAGCTGAAAACAAATTCTATCAACTTCAGGTTGTGGTGGCGCACGAAGATTCTCTCAGGAGGCTCTGTGGCTGCAACGTGAAGATATCTGAGCTCCGATACCAGGTTCGTAGATTCCGCCTCCCTCGTGAACGATTCAAGGAAGTCGCGATCTCGATACTCAGGGTTCGCACTTAGCACGTATTGATTCTTGTCACGGTTCCAGGATTTGCCGCCCCTCATGCCGGTGATTGACGTGGATTTCATGAGTGGAGTCTCTTGTTTGAATTCACCAATGGAGAGACGGCAGATACCTTTGCTACGAGAAGTTTTCGAGAGGTTCGAATATTCGATAATTTTCGAGTTTTTCCGAGCAGAAGTCGGCGAATCGGGGGCGAATC